AAAAAAAAAAAAAAAGTCACATTCTACTATTTATTTTTACATTACAAGTTGCTTTTTAGAGGAGATGAAATTTTAAGTTTGATGTAGTTTAGAATAACAGCACATTCAGAAAATGGTATATGCATGTGAAAATCTATGTGTTAGATGGTGGGCCCTCCATTAGTTTAGTGCCTGCTAATTTATATGGAAAAAATATTTAAAACTACTGACTATTACTCATAACACAGCACACACAAAAGTTATATCTTGAAGACTCTGATTAAGCATTAAAATAAGATCACCATCAATCAGGTAAAATAATACCTGTAATGGCCATAAAACAGGAGATTGAGGGGCAGTGATGTGTCCCCAGGTTATTTCATCCTCAGATCTAAAAGCAAAGGTTGTCTGATGTGCTATTTGGGCATAATGTTGATTTCTGGCTTGGTGCCTGTGGCTCAAGTGTCTAAGGTGCCAGCCACATACACCCAAGGTGTATGAATCCAGCCCGGGCCCTCCAAACAACAATGACAGCCACAACTAAAAAATAGCCAGGCATTGTGGTGGGCACCTGTGGTCCCAGATACTTAGGAGGCTGAAGCAGGAGACTCACTTGAGCCCAGAAGTTGGAGGTTGCTGTGTGCTGTGATGCCATAGCACTCTACCCAGGGGGATAGCCTGCGGCTCTGTCTCACAAAAAAAAATGTTGATTTCCCATTGTCCAACACTGTGACACTATTCCTCCAATAGTAAGAGGAATCACAAATACAGAAGATGGGAAAAAAATAGGTTGAGGCCAATCAATGTCACAGGTGAACTAAAAATGTTTTATAAATATACTTTTTGTTTGCTAAAATTATGCAATAAAGATAAAAAATAAAAAAGTAATCCTTCATGAAATATTTAAGATGAAATCACATCATCATCCATGAAGTATTTAAAATGAAATCATGCAATGGACTAATGTGGAAGGAGAGGAAATAAACTGTTAATGAATTTTCTTTAGGACTAATTTGGGGACCTAAAAAATTGTCTTACCTTTTGTACAGATAAGGTAACTCTGGGTAGTTTCTTTTCAATACCTTCAGGCTGTTGGACATCATACAAAAACAAGCACAGAATAATGAGTTTGGCTCATCTTCTCATTGAGGAGAAGCAGTCAATCGTTAGCTCAGATAAGCTTGGGCAGTACAAATTTGTCCCTGAGAGATCCACAAATTGCCTCCTTCTGTCCATATCTACAAGTCACTGAACATCACCAATACCCATTTTAGGCTCTGTGTTCTCAATTGGACAGAGGATGCAGTGTGGGACACTCTTGGTTCCTCTCATCCTGTCTAACATCTCCAGTAGACAAATAAGAGTGTTTGGTAGAGCAGCGATGTGCCAAGAGTAAGGTGACGAGATTTTAACATTGGTAAAGTGGGACACCATTGATGAGGGTGGGGGTGGGGTGGTGGGTTGGGTGGGTAATTGGCTGAGCTGTTTATGTTTAGGGACCCTCTAGAGAGGGTGGACTACTTGTTTGTTCCAGACAGTTTGCCTCCTTCTGAGCTAATTGTCCTTGCCTGGAAGCGAAAGAGGGAGCCAGTATCCTTCTGATATGATTCCACCTGGGTGACCTTGCCCAGGAGGGGAGTAGGGAGTTTACATTAGCCTTTTCATTTCGGAATGAGGTTACATTATCCTCTTCATTCCCAAATGGAGTTACATTAACCTTTTCAGCAGCTGAAAACCGTATTTTCCCTTCCCATTCTCCTGCTATTCCCTAGCTTGTCATGCCATGCATTCTTTCCAAAAATCGGGACTTTTTAAAAATTCTGTGGGTCACAGGACAAATTGTTAAAACTCAGGACTGTCCCGTCAAAAGCAGGACATCTGGTCACCTTAGCCAAGAGGCGAGATGAGAATGATAAACTTTGATTCTTCTTGAGGGTTATGGGAAATGCACTGGAGTATATGGCAAGGAGATTTGTCTCTTGGAGTTGAGAAACAGTTTTTAAAAAGTGAAGGAAGAGAAATAGGTGGTAGAGAAAGCATCATGAATCAGAAGCAAACAAGGCATTGTCAAGCCTGTCTCAGAAAGGATGCACTTTATGGTATTTTAATTCATTTAAAATGGCATGTCTTGTGTCAGAAGTAACTGTGATAGATTAAAATTTCTTCAAGGAGAATGTCTTTTAACACTTCACTTCTCAGGTATTGTCTATTTCTTATCAGGGAAAGTTTGTCAGTTTTGCATGTACATACCTCTACTAATAGTCTCTTGACTACGGTGTCTTTCCAGTTTAGATTTTGCTGCTCAGTTGATTTGTTTGGGCAAGCACTACTTTGTTTGGACTCAGCCACTGCAGTGATATTCATTTT